TGGGTTGGGATGAGTTGGACCGCAGAGTGAAGGAAAAGCAGCCAACAAGTGCTCGGCATATGTGGGAACTCCTTCAAGACTGTTGGAAAAGCATTCCAGGTGAAGCTGGTTGAGAGAATGCCAAGAGTGTGCAAAGCTGTCATCAAGGCAAAGGGTGGCATTTTGAAGAATCTCAAATCTCAAATATACTGTTTAAATAGCCTTCACTGGCACATTAGAGGCTGCTGCTGCCTATTGAAATCACTGGCCACTTGAAGAAATGGAACACTAGTCACTTTAATAATGTTTACATATCTTGCACTACTCATCTCATATGTATATACTGCATTCTATTCTATAATATTCTACTGTATCTTAGTCCATGCCGCTCTGTCATTGCTTGTCCATATATGTATATATTCTTAAATCCCATTCCTTACTTTTTTGTGTGTATTGGGTATATGTTGTGAAATTGTTATTACTGCACTGTCGGAGCTAAAAGCACAAGCATTTCGCTACACCCGCTATAACATCTGCTAAACACGTGTATGTGACAAATAACATTTGATTTGATTTGATTGCAGAGGTCTTGAAAAAGAAGGGTCAACACTGCAAATATTGACTCTTTGCATAAATGTAATGTAATTGTCAATAAAAGCCTTTGACACTTATGGAATGCTTGTAATTATACTTCAGTATACCATAGTAACATCTGACAAAAATATCTAAAAACACTGAAGCAGCAAACTTTGTGAAGACCAATACTTGTGTCATTCTCAAAACTTTTGAACACGACTGTACATGATTCCATATGTGTTATTTCATAGTTTTGATGTCTTCACTATTATTCTAGTAAAAATAAAGAAAAACCCTTGAATGAGTAGGTGTGTCCAAACTTTTGACTGGTACTGTAAATCAACATACATTTTGCACCAGAGTTAGCTTCCAGCCTGGTAGATCGATTTCTGAGGATACCAGGACAGGTAATGACACAAAGGGATCCCAAGAAGGCACTAGATACATAAATAAGAGGTAGGGAATCCTTGGAAATAAAACTATTTGTTAAAGTAGCTAACACTCTATACCCCTCAAATTCAAATCTGGACCCGGAAGCCAGTTCCACTGATTTTTTTTAACCCCATTCTTCCCCTCTAACCAGGGACCGATTTTAACCTGGGACACCAGGTGGTTACAATGAATGATCAGGTAGAAGAGAGAACCAGCAGTGGACCTGGTAGGGTGAGATTTGCAGCTGTAGAGTGACTGTTCCATCTGCCTCCTCTCCTGTCCCCCATGCAGCTCCACATCGCAGCGGCTAACGGCTACATCCAGGCTGCAGAGCTGCTGCTGGAGGGAGGAGCCAGGATGGACCTGAGAGACACTGACGGATGGCAGCCGCTCCACGCTGCAGCCTGCTGGGGTCAGGTGAGGACACTAGTGACCACACAGACACACACACACACCCAGACACCACACACACACACACACACCCTCCCTCCCACACACACACACACACATCTGAGAGACACTGATGGATGGCAGCCGCTCCACGCTGCAGCCTGCTGGGGTCAGGTGAGGACACTAGTGACCACACAGACACACACACACACCCTCCCTCCCACACACACACACACACACACACCTGAGAGACACTGACGGATGGCAGCCGCTCCACGCTGCAGCCTGCTGGGGTCAGGTGAGGAAACACACACGGGAGTACACACCCACTGGTGCTCAAGGTGACGCACACACACAGGTCAGACACTGACACACACACACACACACACACACACACACACACACACACACACACACACACACACACAGGTCAGACCCACAAGGACAGACACAGACACACAGATGCATACAAATAAACAGACACGCCCACTCTCTACACATGTAACTGAGGACTTGGTGGACTGTATATTCTTTAGGTTAGGTTTGAGGTGTTCTCTCCCGTGTGCTGGTAAGGACACCGATGACAACACAGAGGATTACGGTCTGGTTTAATGACGCTGAAGATTCACAGTACGGCCATGGAACAGCACAGTGTAGGTAGTGCAAGGCTTAGGGCAATTTAAGGCTTTGATTGACAGCTTGTGTGTGTGTGTGTGTGTGGTCTGCAAGTAAAGAGAGAACTAAAGATACAGTACAATAGTGAATGACAGATATACATAATACAATCTCTAATTCACTATACTATAAACATTATGCATGTAACAGTAACATGGATATAATGGCTTAATGCTATACAAGACAATACAGCGTCATACAACGTGACTCCACTAATTAGAGATCAAAGGGGTGCAGCTGGGCAGGAACATTTAGTCCATCAGAGGCACACTGTGGTGAGAATGTCCTCCTGGGAGAGGGGTGAATGTCATTGATGGAACGCTGCTGTGATCGAACAGTCCAAACTACTAGGGAGTCAGCTGGCAGGACACTAGGGGAAAGGGGCACCTGACTACTTAGCTATAGGGGCATTAGGGACATCTGAATGACTGGGGAGCTAAGGGCAGGGCACCTGGGCTGACTAATGGCTAATGGCATGAAGCTGGCTGACAGGTCCTACTACATGGTCCAACCGGTCTCCGGCAACTGACCATCAGAGTCTGGTGAGGCTACCAGCCAGGGATCTGTAGTAGGGGCAGACTTGTCAGGGGAAACAGTCTCTGGGGCTGAGACAGTCAAGGGAGCGCTCTGGGCTCCGTTGGCAGGATCTGGCTTGTCCCCTACAGCAGGGCCAGGTACAGTGAGGGAAAAAAGTATTTGATCCCCTGCTGATTTTGTACGTTTGCCCACTGACAAATAAATGATCAGTCTATAATTTTAATGGTAGGTTTATTTGAACAGTGAGAGACAGAATATCAACAAAAAAATCCAGAAAAACGCATGTCAAAAATGTTATAAATTGATTAGCATTTTAACGAGGGAAATAAGTATTTGACCCCTCTGCAAAACATTACTTTGTACTTGGTGGCAAAACCCTTGTTGGCAATCACAGAGGTCAGACGTTTCTTGTAGTTGGCCACCAGGTTTGCACACATCTCAGGAGGGATTCATTAAGGTTTCGAGGCTGACGTTTGGCAACTCGAACCTTCAGCTCCCTCCACAGATTTTCTATGGGATTAAGGTCTGGAGACTGGCTAGGCCGCTCCAGGACCGTAATGTGCTTCTTCTTGAGCCACTCCTTTGTTGCCTTGGCCGTGTGTTTTGGGTCATTGTCATGCTGGAATACCCATCCACGACCCATTTTCAATGCCCTGGCTGAGGGAAGGAGGTTCTCACCCAAGATTTGACGGTACATGGCCCCGTCCATCGTCCCTTTGATGCGGTGAAGTTGTCCTGTCCCCTTAGCAGAAAAACACCCCCAAAGCATAATGTTTCCACCTCCATGTTTGACTGTGGGGATGGTGTTCTTGGGGTCATAGGCAGCATTCCTCCTCCTCCAAACACGGCGAGTTGAGTTGATGCCAAAGGGCTCGATTTTGGTCTCATCTAACCACAACACTTTCACCCAGTTCTCCTCTGAATCATTCAGATGTTCATTGGCAAACTTCAGACGGGCATGTATATGTGCTTTCTTGAGCAGGGGGACCTTGAGGGCGCTGCAGGATTTCAGTCCTTCACGGCGTAGTGTGTTACCAATTGTTTTCTTGGTGACTATGGTCCCAGCTGCCTTGAAATCATTGACAAGTTCCTCCCGTGTAGTTCTGGGCTGATTCCTCACCGTTCTCATGATCATTGCAACTCCATGAGGTGAGATCTTGCATGGAGCCCCAGGCCGAGGGAGATTGACAGTTCTTTGTGTTTCTTCCATTTGCGAATAATCACACCAACTGTTGTCACCTTCTCACCAAGCTGCTTGGCAATGGTCTTGTAGCCCATTCCAGCCTTGTGTAGGTCTACAATCTTATCCCTGACATCCTTGGAGAGCTCTTTGGTCTTGGCCATGGTGGAGAGTTTGGAATCTGATTGATTGATTGCTTCTGTGGACAGGTGTCTTTTATACAAGTAACAAGCTGAGATTAGGAGCACTCCCTTTAAGAGTGCTGGCACCATTAGTGGGCTGGTAGTCCACACCGGGAGTGTCTTGGAGCTGACCGGTAGGTATGTCTCTTAGCTGGAGAACTGGTGGAGGAGGTGCCTCCTAACAGGTGGGGTGAGCCCTGGTGCTGAGGAAACTCATAGCTGCTGAAAAAGGTTATTGGTAGCATCACTGTAGACTTGAAGTGTCACTGATGACACGTCAGCAGTGACTCGTCACTAACTGGAGGCCACGGTGGGGGATCAGGCCAAACACTGTTGTCATACTGTCCATGACAAGCCTTATTCTCTTCATTGGGTGATGGCTCAGCAGGCTCTGACGCGGACCGTGGTGGTGCCAGCAGAACTCTCTGTAGAGGCTGGCTTATCGGGAGAGAGACTAGCTATAGGCTGGGGTGTGAGCTGTGACAGCATGGAGAATCTCTGCGAGCTGTACTCTCTCATGTAGCTGAGTGAGAATGACCTGCATGGCTCGCTGGGACTGACGCAGCTGGGCTCTCTCTCTTGGTGGATGTACTGTCTCACTAACTCGTACTCTCTAGGTCGCTTCCTGTGGTCCCAGTGACTGTTGTAGACCGTGGACAGACCTCGATGCGCTGACTCTTGTCTCTGCTTACTGTGGCTCATCCTTCTGCTCTCTGGTCAGATGAGGGTTTAGGACGGACCTGTACTCTCTGAAGGTCTCCCACTCATCTGGAGTTGTGTCCCATCTGGCCTGGCTGGAGAGGAAGGGACTGGGTGGAGTGAGGGGTGTCATCTTGGCAGCTCCCTCCATGCGAGGCTGAAGGTCGTCTTCTTGCCCATGTACATACTGCGCTGTTCTAATGTGACTTGATGTGTCCTTACCAGCACATGGTAGAGAACACATCCAGTAAAACCTAACCTAAAGAATATACAGTCCACCAAGTCCTCAGTTACAGCACATGATCGTGGATAGCCGTGTAAATGCTGATAGATACTCTCTATTGTTCCAGATGCATGTAGCAGAGCTGCTGGTTTCTCACGGTGCCAGTCTCAATGCCAAGACCTTCTTAGAGGAGACTCCCATTGGTAAGTCTGCCCCAACCCTAAACCCTACCTACCTACATAACCCTAACTACATAACCCTAACCCTACCTACATAACCCTAACCCTACATAACATTACCTACATAACCCTAACCCTACCTACATAACCCTAACCCTACATAACATTACCTACATAACCCTAACCCTACATAACATTACCTACATAACCCTACCTACATAACTCTAACCCTACCTACATAACCCTACCTACATAACCCTAACCCTACCTACAATGCAAATAGTCTGGGTAGCCATTTGATTAGATGTTCAGGAGTCTCATGGCTTGGGGGTAGAAGCTGTTTAGAAGCCTCTTGGACCTAGACTTGGCGCTCTGGTACCGCTTGCCGTGCGGTAGCAGTGAGAACAATCTATGACTAGGGTGGCTGGAGTCTTTGACAATTTTTAGAGCCTTCCTCTGACATAACCCTACCTACATAACCCTACCTACATAACCCTAACCCTGCCTACATAACCCTAACCCTACCTACATAACCCTACCTACATAACCCTAACCCTGCCTACATAACCCTAACCCTACCTACATAACCCTACCTACATAACCCTAACCCTACCTACATAACCCTAACCCTATCTACATAACCCTAACCCTACCTACATAACCCTAACCCTACCTGCCTACAGAACCCTACCTAGATAACCCTAACCCTACCTACATAACCCTAACCCTACCTACATAACCCTAACCCTACCTGCCTACAGAACCCTACCTACATAACCCTAACCCTACCTACATAACCCTAACCCTACCTAGAGGAGACTCCCATTGGGGCAAGATCAACACTACAGAGCAAAGGTTTTCAAACCTCTCCTTGTGGACCGCCAGACATTTCACCATTTTGTTGTAGCCTACCTTACCTGATTCACCTAATCAAGGGCTTGATGATTAGCTGATAGGTTGAATCAGGTGTGCTAGCTGTGGAATAGTTCAAATACATAGAGGGGGTCCCCGAGGAGAGGTTTGAAAACCCCTGCCGTAAAGAACCTTATGACATCTCTATTGTATCTCTATCGTCTGCCCCAACCTGCTGTTTATCATCAATGAGAAGATGATGCTATACTGTAGTGAAGGGGGAAAAAATCTATACAGTTACATATCGCGCTATTATTTTTGGACAATATTATATTGATATTTAAATCCAAGTATCCATTTGTGTATATATATACACACTACCAGTCAAAAGTTTGGACACACCTACTCATTCAAGGGTTTTTCTTTATTTGTAAAAACAAATTACATTGTAGAATAATAGTGAAGACATCGAAACTATGAAATAACACATATGGAATCATGTAGTAACCAAAAAAGTGTTAAACAATTCAAAATATATTTGAGGTTTGAGATTCTTAAAATAGCCACCCTTTGCCTTGATGACAGCTTTGCACACTTTTGGCATTCTCTTAACCAGCTTCATGAGGTAGTCACCTGGAACCCATTTCAATTAACAGGTGTGCCTTCTTAAAAGTTAATTTGTGGAAATTATTTCCTTCTTAATGCGTTTGAGCCAATCAGTTGGGTTGTGACAAGGTAAGGGGGGTATACAGAAGATATCTCTATTTGGTAAAAGACCAAGTCCATATTATGGCAAGAAAAGCTCAAATAAGCAAAATGGAATTACAGTCAATCATTACTTTAAGACATGAAGGTCAATACGGAAAATGTCAAGAACTTTGAACGTTTCTTCAAGTGCAGTCGCAAAAACCATCAAGCGCTATGATGAAACTGGCTCTCATGAGGACCGCCACAGGAATGGAAAACCCAGAGTTACCTCTGCTGCAGAGGATAAGTTCATTAGAGTTACCAGCCTCAGAAATTGCACCCCAAATAAATGCTTCACAGAGTTCAAGTAACAGACACATCTCAACATCAACTGTTCAGAGGGGACTGTGTGAATCAGGCCTTCATGGTCGAATTGCTTTAAAGAAACCACTACTAAAGGACACCAATAAGAAGAAGAGACCTGCTTGGGCCAAGAAACACGAGCAATGGACATTGGCCTGGTGGAAGTGTGTCCTTTGGTCTGGAGTCCAAATTGGAGATTTTTGGTTCAAACCGCCGTGGCTTTGTGAGACACGGTGTGGGTGAACGAATGATCTCAGCATGTGTAGTTCAAACCGTAAAGCATGGAGGAGGAGGTGTTATGGTGTGGGCGTGCTGTGATTTATTTAGAATTCAAGGCATACTTAACCAGCATGGCTACCACAGCATTCTGCAGCGATACGCCATCCCATCTGGTTTGGGTTTAGTGGGACTATCATTTATATTTCAACAGGACAATGACCCAACACTCCTCCAGGCTGTGTATGGGCTATTTTACCAAGAAGGAGAGGGATGGAGTGCTGCATCAGATGACCTGGCCTCCACAATCCCCCGACCTCAACCCAATTGAGATGGTTTGGGATGAGTCGGACAGCAGAGTGAAGGAAAAGCAGCCAACAAGTGCTCGGCATATGTGGGAACTCCTTTCAAGACTGTTGGAAAAGCATTCCAGGTGAAGCTGGTTGAGAGAATGCCAAGAGTGTGCAAAGCTGTCATCAAGGCAAAGGGTAGCTATTTGAAGAATCTCAAATATAAAACACTTTTTGGTTACTACATGATTCCATATGTGTTATTTCATAGTTTTGATATCTTCACTATTATTTATACAATGTAGAAAATAGTAAAACTAAAGAAAAAACCCTTGAATGAGTAGTGTTTTCCAAACTTTAGATTGGTAGCTCGTGTTGTGTGTATATATATACATATAAGAAATAAATTACCCTGGTACAGAAATGAGTATGCCACAATTTCTATAAAACTGAGTGTATTGTCCAAATTTCATATTAGTGTATGAATTAAATCTGTGTGTCTATGCAAAATGGGCCTTTCATTCTGTTGATCTGAATACCTGTAACTACTTAGCACTGATTAATTGGAACACACAATTGGTTTGGTGAGCTCATTAAGCCTTGAACTTCATAGACAAGTGCATCCAATCATGAGAAAAGGTATTTAAGGTGGCCAATTGCAAGTTGTTGTTCTCCTTGACTCTCCTCTGAAGAGTGGCAACATGGGGGCCTCAAAACAACTCTCAAATGACCTGAAAACAAAGATTGTTCAACATTATGGTTTAGGGGAAGGCTACAAAAAGCTATCGCAGAGATGTAAGCTGTCAGTGTCCACTGTGAGGAACATAGTGAGGAACTGGAAGACCACAGGCACAGTTCTTGTTAAGGCCAGAAGTGGCAGGCCAAGTAAAATATCAGAGAGGCAAAGGCGAAGGATGGTGAGAACAGTAAAAAACAGCTCACAGACCACCTCCAAAGACCTACAACATCATCTTGCTGCAGATGGTGTCACTGTGCATCGTTCAACAATTCAGCGCACTTTGCACAAGGAGAAGCTGTACGGGAGAGTGATGCGGAAGAAGCCTTTTCTGCACACACGCCACAAACAGAGTCGCTTGAGGTATGCAAACGCACATTTGGACAAGCCAGCTTCATTTTGGAATAAAGTGCTGTGGACTGATTAACCAAATATTGAGTTATTTGGTCATAACAAGGGGCGTTATTCATGGCGGCAAAAGAACACAGCATTCCAAGAAAAATACTTGCCACCCACAGTAAAATTTGGTGGGGGTTCCATCATGCTGTGGGGCTGTGTGGCCAGTGCCGGTACTGGGAATCTTGTTAAAGTTGAGGGTCGCATGGATTCCACTCAATATCAGCAGATTCTTGGGAATAATGTTGAAGAATCAGTCACAAAGATGAAGTTATGCCGGGGCTGTATATTTCAACAAGACAACGACCCAAAACACTGCTCAAAATCTACCTGGGCATTTATGCAGAGGAACAAGTACAATGTTCTGGAATGGCCATCCCAGTCCCCAGACCTGAATATCATTGAGAATCTGTGGGATGATTTGAAACGACCTGTCCATCCTCGGCAACCATCAAACCTAACTGAAGTGGAGATGTTTTGAAAGGAGGAATGGTCCAAAATACCTTCATCCAGAATCCAGACACTCATTAGAGGCTATAGGAAGCGTCTAGAGGCTGTTATCTTAGCAAAAGGAGGCTCTACTAAAAATTGATGTGATTTTTCTGTTGGGGTGCCCAAATTTATGCAGATGTCTAATTTTGTTTTGATGCATATTGCACATTTTCTGTTAATCCAATAAACCTAATTTCACTACTGAAATATTACTGTGTCCATCAGTTATTTGATAGATCAAAATGAAATTGCTGATCCAAACACCCAATTATTTATAAATGGAAATCATGGAAATTGTCAGGGGTGCCCAAACTTTTTCATACGACTGTATACAGTCGTGGTCAAAAGTTTTGAGAATGACACAAGTATTGGTCTTCACAAAGTTTGCTGCTTCAGTGTTTTTAGATATTTTTGTCAGATGTTACTATGGTATACTGTAGTATAATTACAAGCATTCCATAAGTGTCAAAGGCTTTTATTGACAATTACATTACGTTTATGCAAAGAGTCAATATTTGCAGTGTTGACCCTTCTTTTTCAAGACCTCTGCAATCCGCCCTGGCATGCTGTTAATTAACTTCTGGGCCACATCCTGACTGATGGCAGCCCATTCTTGCATAATCAATGCTTGGAGTTTGTCAGAATTTGTGGGGTTTTGTTTGTCCACCCGCCTCATGAGGATTGACCACAAGTTCTCAATGGGATTATGGTCTGGGGAGTTTCCTGGCCATGGACTCAAAATGTCGATGTTTTGTTCCCCAAGCCACTTAGTTATCACTTTTGCCTTATGGCAAGGTGCTTCATCATGCAGAAAAAACATTGTTCGTCACCAAACTGTTCTTGGATGGTTGAGAGAAGTTGCTCTTGGAGGATGTGTTGGTAACATTCTTCATTCATGGCTGTGTTCTTAGGCAAAATTGTGAGTGAGCCCACTCCCTTAGCTGAGAAGCAACCCCACACATGAATGGTCTCAGGATGCTTTACTGTTGGCATGACACAGGACTGATGGTAGCGCTCACCTTGTCTTCTCCGGACAAGCTTTTTCCGGATGCCCCAAACAATCGGAAAGGGGATTCATCAGAGAAAATGACTTTACCCTAGTCCTCCGCAGTCCAATCCCTGTCCCTGATGTTTTTCCTGGAGAGAAGTGGCTTCCTCACTGCCCTTCTTGACACCAGGCCATCCTCCAAAAGTCTTCGCCTCACTGTGCGTGCAGATGCACTCACACCTGCCTGCTGCCATTCCTGAGCAAGCTCTGCACTAGTGGTGCCCTGATCCCACAGCTGAATCAACTTTAGGAGATGGTCCTGGCGCTTGTTGGACTTTCTTTGGTCGCCCTGAAGCCTTCTTCACAACAATTGAACCTCTCTCCTTGAAGTTCTTGATGATCCGATAAATGGTTGATTTAGGTGCAATCTTACTAGCAGCAATATCCTTGCCTCTGAAGCCCTTTTTGTGCAAAGCAATGATGACGGCACGTGTTTCCTTGCAGGTAACCATGGTTAACAGAGGAAGAACAATGATTTCAAGCACCACCCTCCTTTTAAAGCTTCCAGTCTGTTATTTTAACTCAATCAGCATGACAGAGTGATCTCCAGCCCTGTCCTCGTCAACACTCTCACCTGTGTTAACGAGAGAATCACTGACATGATGTCAGCTGGTCTTTTTGTGGCAGGGTTGAAATGCAGTGGAAATGTTTTTTGGGGGATTAAGTTCATTTTCATGGCAAAGAGGGACTTTGCAATTAATTGCAATTCATCTGATCACTCTTCATAACATTCTGGAGTATATGCAAATTGCCATCATAAAAACGGAGGCAGCAGACTTTGTGAAAATTAATATTTGTGTCATTCTCAAAACTTTTGACCACGACTGTATATATATAATTTTTTTGCTAGTGTATGTAGCATTAGCTAGTGCCAGTCGGCTGTACCTGCGCCAAAACTCTGTTGTTATTCATCCTTTAGCTTGTTCTCCATTTTATATAGTGAGCCAACATGTTATCAACACTTTTATTTCCCTGACTGATCCAAACTTTTTTTCTCATGGCTCTCTCTTGTCTCTCTGCAGAAGACATATAGTGAGCAATATGTTTGGAACATCAAATCGCAATAAAATTGCAGTATCGAATCGCAATACATATAGAATCGCAATACATATCGTATCGCCACCTAAGTATCGTGATAATATCGTATCGTGAGTTCCCTGGCAATTCCCATCCCTACTATACTGTATACATGATTGCTATACTAGTGTCTAAAACACCATGAAACCAACCCATAGAGTTGTGGAAACTGAGTATTTATCCAGAACCATCTCAGAGAATTCTCCCCTCACACTTTCTGTGTTGAGGCCAGATGGAGTTCAGGGGACCTATAGATGGCGCCTGAACCTATCTCTTTTGAAACGGGCAGAATTTCGTCAATTTATTAGAGATCAAATTACGTTTTTCTGTGAAACAAACTGTCCGTCCTCTCCCAATAGTTTTGACCTCTGGGATACATTACAGGCCTTTCTTAGGGGTCAAATCATTTCCTATACCAAATGTCTTCAAAATAAATACACTGCTGAATTTAATTAGGAACTACCAAAAATCTGCCTCTAAAGAAACATGCTGCTCATTGGTGAATAAAAAACGGAAATATAATACTTACAAAACTGAAAAGGCTATTCTTAGAACTAGGCAAAGATACTATGAATTGGGGGAGAAAAGTCACAAAGTCTTGGCCTGGCAGATAAAAGCTAAGGAGAATTCGAGAACCATCAACTCTATCGAAACTCAGAATGGTCAAGTGTCTCCACCCTGAAGAGATTAATGAGTAATTTAAACAATACTATTCAAAGTTATACACTTCTGAAGGAACGGAACCAGCAATGATAGGCAATTTCCTCTCTACAATCCGGCAAATCCCCAGGAGACGATGGATTTCCTAGAGTTCTAGAAGTTGAAGGATTAGTTTACTCCTCTCTTGATGTACGTTCTGAATTTAGCTGCTGAGAAGCAGAGTTTTCCACAGCTATTATAACAGTTATTCATAAGAAAAATAAAGATCCTCTACAATGCTCTTCTTATAGGCCAATCTAGCTCCTCAATGCCGACTATAAATCGATTTCTAAGGCGATGGCTTAATAGATTGGGACTATTTGCCAAACCTGATCAACACCGATCAAACAGGCTTTATACAGAGAAGATCCTCCACCAATAATTTGCACAGGTTATTCAATGTAATTCACATGGTCAGTGTGATGGGCGATCCTAGTACTGCAGTATCTCTAGACAAAAAACCTTTGATAGCTGGAGTGGCCATACCTATTCAAGGTCCTTGCTAAATTTAACTTTCGTCCTTTGTTTGTCAACTGGGTTAAGACTTTATACCATAAACTGCAAGCCAAGATCACCACTAATGGCATGATGTCAGCTACTTCCCCACTGCTTTAGAGATAGAGATAGTAGGCAGGGCTGTTCACTTTCCCACTGCTTTAGAGATAGTAGGCAGGGCTGTTCACTTTCCCACTGCTTTAGAGATAGTAGGCAGGGCTGTTCACTTTCCCACTGCTTTAGAGATAGTAGGCAGGGCTGTTCACTTTCCCACTGCTTTAGAGATAGTAGGCAGGGCTGTTCACTTTCCCACTGCTTTAGAGATAGTAGGCAGGGCTGTTCACTTTCCCACTGCTTTAGAGATAGTAGGCAGGGCTGTTCACTTTCCCACTGCTTTAGAGATAGTAGGCAGGGCTGTTCACTTTCCCACTGCTTTAGAGATAGTAGGCAGGGCTGTTCACTTTCCCACTGCTTTAGAGATGGTAGGCAGGGCTGTTCACTTTCCCACTCTTTAGAGATAGTAGGCAGGGCTGTTCACTTTCCCACTCTTTAGAGATAGTAGGCAGGGCTGTTCACTTTCCCACTCTTTAGAGATAGTAGGCAGGGCTGTTCACTTTCCCACTCTTTAGAGATAGTAGGCAGGGCTGTTCACTTTCCCACTGCTTTTTGTGCTAGCCATAGAACCTTGGCGGAGGCCAGAAGATCCTGGCATAAAGGGCGTTCAGGGGGGCCAGATAAGGCACAAGATCTCATTGTTGACATAATTGTGTTCCTCTCTGACCCGACCGGATCCCGCTCAAAACTACAGACACTAATGGGTACATACAGCTGCATATCAGGCTACAACGTCAACATGGACAAAATGATGTAAACACTTCCACTGACTCGCTTTGACTATAGCACCTGTGAACAGACAGGTCCCTTCAGATGGTCGCCACAGGGGTTCAAATATCTAAGAATCACAGTTGATAATGACTTGAGAAATTTGTACAAGCTTAACTACTGTCTTGGTTCAGAAGGTGGTGGATGATTTGAATAGATGGATAGAGCTGCCTCTTACATTATTTGGGAGAATTAATTGTACTAAGATGAACGTTCTGCCTAAATTGATGTATCTATTTCAATCTTTACCCATATCCCCACCCGAGAGTTTCGTTAAGTCCCTTAACAAGACCAGAAGACAATTTGGAACTTTGGAGTATGGAACTGTAAAACTCCAAGGGTGAGCCTGGACAAATTAACATGGGATTGTGGGCAGGACAAATTTGATTTATTTCATTCTTATTTAAAGCTGAACCCGCATCCTTTTGGACTCAGATGGAAATGTTTGATCTTAATGAAGAGGTTGGGAGTAATATTATCTACAAGTGGAACGAACCCAAGACTATATCAACAAAAACAAGCAATCCCTGTACCATCAATTTAGTAAGATATTGGCATGAAATTCGTAAGTTCTTTGGTCTGAAAGGAGACTTGTCACCTGAAAAACACCCCTGTGGCTAAACAGACTCCTTCCAATGATCTCGGATAACAATATTTTTCACCATCGGCATGAGAAGGGAATAACATTTAGAACATTGTTATGAAGATTGAGTCCTTTTGTAATTTGAGCAAGTGAAAGAGAAATACCAGTTATCCAATACGCATTTCTTTTGTTATTTACAGTTAAGAAACTTTCTCAGAAGCACTCTTGGAGATAATATAATTTTACCAAATCTATTAAGTATTGACCAACTACTCCATGATGCATGGCCCATTTAGATCCATATACAGATTGTACTCATTGCTAATGAAACAATGCCCACAATCAGATGTGCATAAGTCAAGAGAGATGGGAAGCTGAACTAAATATATTAAGTGATGAAGAGGCTATGGTCAGACGTATGCCATGAGAGCATATCAGCAACCGTCAACTCTAGATGCAGACATTACAACTTCCTCCACAAACTCTATCTCACCTCGGAGGCTACAGAAATATCATGAATGTGTTTTAGTTGTGGAACAACAGAAGGCACTTTTTTTTGCATTCCACTTGACAGTGTACTCATTTACAAGCCTTCTGGCATATTGTTTGTGATACCCTGGCCTAAATTATGGAGGTCCCTTTCCCTTATTATGGAGGTCCCTTATGTGGTCCTCTGTAGCTCAGCTGGTAGAGCACGGCGCTTGTAACGCCAAGGTAGTGGGTTCGATCCCCGGGACCACCCATACACAAAAAAAAAAAATGTATGCACGCACGACTGTAAGTCGCTTTGGATAAAAGCGTCTGCTAAATGGCATATTATTATTATTATTATTATATTATTATATTATTATTATTATTATTATTATTATTATTATTATTATTATTTCCCACTTGACCCTGAAATGTGCCTTCTGGTTAACTTTACAAATGTGAATTTAAGGAATAATTTCAATATCAAATTTACAGAAATTGCCCTTGCCGCTGAGAGAAAATGTGTTGCTTTGACATTGAAGTCAGATTCCCCTCTCTCAATTACAAGATGGCTCTCTGAAATGAATGTGTATTCCTATGGAGAAGATTACTTATTGATTTAAGAAATAAATTCAACCATTTTGTGAAAATATGGCAACCCTTCCTGGACTATATGGAAACACTTCCATAGTGATTGGTGGATGTGGGCTTGTAGATCGATGTAAATAGATGTAAATATTGTCTCTCTGTAATGTTCTGTATTGTTTTGTATTGTTTTTGTGTTGTTTTGTATTGTTTTTGTTGTTTTGTATTGATTTGTATTTGTTTTGTATTGTTTTTGTTTTGTATTTGTTTATTTTTTATTACTTGTTTTTCTTAGTGGAGGGGTGGGGAGGGGAGGGTTTAGTTGCCGTTTGTTCTGGTATTTATTTTGCTTAATTGTTCTGTTTTTTTAAAACTCCATAAACCCCTACCTGGCCACAGAGCAGTGGTTGATGGGAGGATATGTTTTGGTCTCTGTGACCTTTCTGTGACTTCTGACCTGTATGAGGACGAGGAGTTCAGCGCCATCCTGTGTGCGTGCGTGTATGATCTCTGTGTGACCTCTGACCTGTGTGAGGACGAGGAGTTCCGATCCATCCTCTGTGTGTGTGTTCCCTGTGTGACCTCTAACCTCTGACCTTTAGACCTGTGTGAGGACGAGGAGTTCCGAGCCATCCTCTGTGTGTGTGTTCCCTGTGTGACCTCTAACCTCTGACCTTTAGACCTGTGTGAGGACGAGGAGTTCCGAGTCATCCTCTGTGTGTGTGTTCCCTGTGTGACCTCTAACCTCTGACCTTTAGACCTGTGTGAGGACGAGGAGTTCCGAGCCATCCTGCTGGACCTGAAACACAAACACGACATCATCATGAAGTCTCAGCTTAAACACAAGACCTCTTTGTGTAGGAGGACATCCAGCGCAGGCAGCCGTGGGTATGTACTGACCTCTACTGGACCGAGAGGAAACTGCATGCAGACTTGTACGTTTTCTCCACCATCTAGTACTACAGTAGTGTTTGTTCAACGTGGTCATGGAGAGGGGCAAGGGATGCTTTTGTTACAGCCCAGTCCTAACACATGATTCAACTAATCCACTAATAGCTGAATGTTCTTATAAATCAGGTGTGTAAGTGCTGGGTTAGAAGTCAAATGTAAAAAGAAACCCCGACTGACAGGAACACTGAATGCCTCTCCTCCCTGCGTGTGCTTTAGGAAAGTGGTGCGGAGGGCAAGCCTGTCTGACAGACACAACCTTCGTGTGAAGGAGTATGAGACTGAGGCCATCGTGTGGAGAGGAGGGAGGGAAGGAGGGAGGGAAGGAGGGAGGGAAGAGAAAGAGGAGGAGGAGAAGAAGACGGACCAGGAGAACAGCCATCCCATCTATACAACTGTTACTACGGTTAGTATGGATGAATGTTTCTCCTATCTCACGTGTGTAAAAACCCATGTAGCTTATCACTATATTAACTTCTGTGTAGAGACAGTAATACCCACTAAAACTGTTAAAAAATAAGCCCCATGTTAAAAAGGACATTACAAAGGCTCTCAAAGAAAAGAAAGTGGCCTTCAAAAACAAGGATAGGGGGAGGTTAAGAGGATGCCATGCTGCGGGAGGGGAAATGGGCCCACAGAGAGCAACTGGAGAAAGCCTTCACAGCAGCCAACCCCAGGCTAGCCTATGGCCAGCATGTCAGCACCCTGCAAATCCCTCCACGTGGAGGACGAGTCCACATTTGTGAAGGAACTGAACCTGTTCTACAAAAGATTTGATGTATGACAACATCGACCTCCCACTGTACCTAGACAGTGTAAACAGCCTTGTGCAATGGTGTGACACGAACTCTCTGGTCCTGAATGTCACAAAAACACAAGAGGTTATCTTTGACCCCAGGTCAGTGGCTGACTTGAGCCAGGTCGTCATTCACAGTGAACACATCCAGCAGGTCGACTCCTATAAATACCTGGGAGTACATGTTGACCATGCCCTGAGATGGAGTGTCATGTGGACTATGTGTGTGTTAAGGTGCAACAGTGCATGTACTTTCTCTGCAGGCTGAGGTCTTTGGGCCAGTAACCAAAAGGTTGCTGGATTGAATCCCCGAGCTGACAAGGTAAACATCTGTCATTCTACCCCTGAGCAAGGAAGCCCCCCGCACCTCTCTGATTCAGAGGGGTTGGGTTACATGCGGAAGATACATTTCAGTTGAATGCATTCAGTTGTACAACTGACTAGTTATCCCCCTTTCCCTTTCGGGGAAAGCTCGGAAATACTGAACTTGTTCTTTGGGTCCACTATCCAGAGTGTTCTGCAGTACTGCATCACTGCTTGGTACAACAGTGTCACGGTACAGTCAAAAACCAGGGTGACAAGTCTGCTGAAAACTGCCTCCAAACTAATTGACACACCCACCTACAAAACCTTTCTGGACAACTAACTAACAACTACCACACAAATAGGCTGAAGATGTCAAAGAAAACAGCTCCTGCTGTCCATGAAACTCTACAGACTCCCCCTGTGCAAACTGGTCAGGTACAAAAACGAATACACTATATGTACAAAAGTGTGTGGACACCCCTTCAAATTAGTGGATTAAGCTATTTCAGCCACACCTGTTGCTGACAGGTGTATAAAATCGAGCACACAGCCATGCAATCTCCATAGACAAACATTGGCAGTAGAATGGCCTTACTGAAGAGCTCAGTGACTTTCAACCTGGTACCGTCATAGGATGCCACCTTTCCAACAAGTCAGTTCGTCAAATTTCTGCCCTACTAGAGCTGCCCTGGTCAACTGTAAGTGCTGTTATTGTGAAGTGGAAATGTCTAGGAGCAACAAAGGCTTATCCACGAAGTAGTAGGCCACACAAGCTCACAGAACGGGACCGCCCAGTGCTGAAGCGCGTAAAAATCATCTGTCCTCGCTTGCAACACTCATTACCGAGTTCCAAACTGCCTCTGGAAGCAACATCAGCACAATAACTGTTTGTCGGGAGCTTCATGAAATGGGTTTCCATGGTCGAGCAGCCGCACACAAGCCTAAGATCACCATGCACAATGCCAAGCATCGACTGGAGTGGTGTAAAGCTTGGCGCCATTGGACTCTGGAGCAGTGGAAACGCGTTTTCTGGAGTGATGAATCACACTTCACCATCTGGGTTTGGCAGATGCCAGGAGAACCATACCTGCCCCAATGCATAGTGCCAACTGTAAAGTTTGGATGAATAATGGTCTGGGGCTGTTTTTCATGGTTCAGGCCCCTTAGTTCCAGTGAAGGGAAATCTTAACGCTACAGTATACAATGACATTCTAGATGATTCTGTGCTTCCAACTTTGTGGCAACAGTTTGGGGAAGGCCCTTTCCTGTTTCAGCATGACAATACCCGCATGCACAAAGCAAGGTACATACAGAAATGGTTTGTCGAGATCATTGTGGAAGAACTTGACTGGCCTGCACAGAGCCCTGACCTCAACCCCACCGAACACCTCTGGGATGAATTGGAACGCCAAGAGCGAGTCAGGCCTAATCGCCCAACATCCGTGCCCTACCTCACTAATGCTCTTGTGGCTGAATGGAAGCAAGTCCCCACAGCAATGTTCAAACATCTAGCGGAAAGCCTTCCCAGAAGAGTGGAGGCTGTTATAGCAGCAAAGGGGGGACCAACTCCATATTAATGCCTATGATTTTGGAATGAGATGTTCGATGAGCAGGTGTCCACATACTTTTGGTCATTCTACATTTACATTTTAGTCATTTAGCAGACGCTCTTATCCAGAGCGACTTACAGTTAGTGAGTGCATACATTTTCATACTGGCCCCCCCGTGGGAATCGAACCCAAAACCCTGGCGTTGCAAACGCCATGCTACACGGGACTACATGTAGTGTATGTGCCACATGAACAAATCAGGAGGACAATAGGAACATAGGGATGGACTCACTCATTTGGGAACGGGCTATAGTGAAAGTGATAAGTGAAATATAACTAATTGTGAAAAATAATAATGGACATTGAAATGATAGAGTTGTGTAATAACATTATGTGCAAAGCTCAGGGACCTTGGACATTAAGGGGATGTGTAACACTGAGTATAGGAGGGACAGCTACAGTGGGGGAAAAAAATGATTTAGTCAGCCACCAATTGTGCAAGTTCTCCCACTTAAAAAGATGAGAGAGGCCTGTAATTTTCATCATAGGTACACGTCAAAATCACATTGTAGGATTTTTAATGAATTTATTTGCAAATTATGGTGGAAAATAAGTATTTGGTCAATAACAAAAGTTTCTCAATACTTTGTTATATACCCTTTGTTGGCAATGACACAGGTCAAACGTTTTCTGTAAGTCTTCACAAGGTTTTCACACACTGTTGCTGGTATTTTGGCCCATTCCTCCATGCAGATCTCCTCTAGAGCAGTGATGTTTTGGGGCTGTCGCTGGGCAACACAGACTTTCAACTCCCTCCAAAGATTTTCTATGGGGTTGAGATCTGGAGACTGGCTAGGCCACTCCAGGACCTTGAATTGCTTCTTACGAAGCCACTCCTTCGTTGCCCGGGCGGTGTGTTTGGGATCATTGTCATGCTGAAAGACCCAGCCACGTTTCATCTTCAATGCCCTTGCTGATGGAAGGAGGTTTTCACTCAAAATCTCACGATACATGGCCCCATTCATTCTTTCCTTTACACGGATCAGTCGTCCTGGTCCCTTTGCAGAAAAACAGCCCCAAAGCATGATGTTTCCACCCCCATGCTTCACAGTAGGTATGGTGTTCTTTGGATGCAACTCAGCATTCTTTGTCCTCCAAACACAACGAGTTTAGTTTTTATCAAAAAGTTATATTTTGGTTTCATCTGACCATATGACATTCTCCCAATCCTCTTCTGGATCATCCAAATGGACTCTAGCAAACTTCAGACGGGCCTGGACATGTACTGGCTTAAGCAGGGGAACACGTCTGGCACTGCAGGATTTGAGTCCCTGGCGGCGTAGTGTGTTACTTGATGGTAGGCTTTGTTACTTTGGTCCCAGCTCTCTGCAGGTCATTCACTAGGTCCCTCCGTGTGGTTCTGGGATTTTTTCTCACCGTTCTTGTGATCATTTTGACCCCACGGGGTGAGATCTTGCGTGGAGCCCCAGATCGAGGGAGATTATCAGTGGTCTTGTATGTCTTCCATTTCCTAATAATTGCTCCCACAGTTGATTTCTTCAAACCAAGCTGCTTACCTATTGCAGATTCAGTCTTCCCAGCCTGGTGCAGGTCTACAATTTTGTTTCTGGTGTCCTTTGACAGCTCTTTGGTCTTGGCCATAGTGGAGTTTGGAGTGTGACTGTTTGAGGTTGTGGACAGGTGTCTTTTATACTGATAACAAGTTCAAACAGGTGCCATTAATACAGGTAACGAGTGGAGGACAGAGGAGCCTCTTAAAGAAGGTCTGTGAGAGCCAGAAATCTTGCTTGTTTGTAGGTGACAAAATACTTATTTTCCACCATAATTTGCAAATAAATTCATAAAAAATCCTACAATGTGATTTTCTGGAGAAAAAAATTCTCAATTTGTCTGTCATAGTTGACGTGTACCTATGATGAAAATTACAGGCCTCTCTCATCTTTTTAAGTGGGAGAACTTGCACAATTGGTGGCTGACTAAATACTTTTTTCCCCACTGTATGTAATGTGGAAGGGAGGGCTCAGAGTCCTTAAACTGTCATTCTTGTTTAGTTTTTTCATGAATGTGTATGTTTGATGTTGTGTCTAGCCTACGCCATGTCTCTCTCCGTATTGCAGTGCATTTTCTTCTACGTAAAGCAATTATCTGTGAAAATCATACAATAAAGAAATAAACCACCAGCCTCTAGTCTAGTTAGCCAACTTGTCTTCTGTTTAGTTTGTGAAGGAAATCATATTAAAGGTCTGTAATAGTAATTGGTAACAGCAGTTAGTAACAGTTGATAACAGCAGTTAGTAACAGTTGATAACAGCAGTTAGTAACAGTTGATAACAGCAGTTAGTAACAGTTGATAACAGCAGTTAGTAACAGTTGATAACAGCAGTGAGTAACAGTTGATAACAGCAGTTAGAAACGTTAGTAACAGTAGTTAGTAACAGTTGATAACAGCAGTTAGTAACAGTTGATAACAGCAGTGAGTAACAGTTGATAACAGCAGTTAGTAACAGTTGATAACAGCAGTTAGTAACAGTTGATAACAGCAGTTAGTAACAGTTGATAACAGCAGTTAGTAACAGTTGATAACAGCAGTGAGTAACAGTTGATAACAGCAGTTAGAAACGTTAGTAACAGTAGTTAGTAACAGTTGATAACAGCAGTTAGTAACAGTTGATAACAGCAGTGAGTAACAGTTGATAACAGCAGTTAGTAACAGTTGATAACAGCAGTTAGTAACAGTTGATAACAGCAGTTAGTAACAGTTGATAACAGCAGTGAGTAACAGTTGATAACAGCAGTTAGTAACAGTTGATAACAGCAGTGAGTAACAGTTGATAACAGCAGTTAGTAACAGTTGATAACAGCAGTTAGTAACAGTTAGTAACAGTAATCTTAATGTCCTCTGTCTCCCAGTTAGGAACAGTAATCTTAATGTCCTCTGTCTTCCAGTTAGTAACAGTAATCTTAATGTCCTCTGTCTTCCAGTTAGTAACAGTAATCTTAATGTCCTCTGTCTTCCAGTTAGTAACAGTAATCTTAATGTCCTCTGTCTTCCAGTTAGTAACAATAATCTTAATGTCCTCTGTCTTCCAGTTAGTAACAGTAATCTTAATGTCCTCTGTTTCCCAGTTAGGAACAGTTAGTAACAGTAATCTTAATGTCCTCTGTTTCCCAGTTAGGAACATTTAGTAACAGTAATCTTAATGTCCTCTGTCTCCCAGTTAGTAACAGTAATCTTAATGTCCTCTGTTTCCCAGTTAGGAACATTTAGTAACAGTAATCTTAATGTCCTCTGTCTCCCAGTTAGTAACAGTAATCTTAATGTCCTCTGTCTCCCAGGTGATTCCAGTGAAGCCAGTAGTGGAGAGGCCCAAACTACAGAAGAACCTGAAAGATGCACCAAGCGGCATCATCAAACAAAATGGCATCATCTCCACGACTACGTCCACGCCCACTCCCAGTCAGCTGCCGCCAACCAATGGCGAGCCTCCATCTCCTGACACGAAGAGCGCATCAGCCGATCAGCTCCCAGAGGACGACTCCTCCTTGCCAAGGGAGCGCGCTCAGACCCTGTCGGAACTGAAAAAGCAGAGGTCGGCCGCCAAGCTGCTCAATCACCCACTCCTCAACGGTCACCTAGGAAACGGCTCCACAGAATCCACCGAACCCCAGAGCCCTGTGGATTCCCGCATGCCCCTCGTCTCGTCCAATGGCAGTGCAGTATACTACACCCCGGCAAGCGGTGATCCGCCCATGCTCAAACTCAAACAGCCAATAGATGACGAGGAACCAAAGGGGGGCAGCTGCTGCTGTGTCTCCTAGGGAGGAGGTGGAGGTCACCCCAAGACACTGATCTATGGTCAGGCTGACTGTGTTCTCCGCCAATGGTTCGGGGAGGGAAAGCTGATCCTAGATCTGTGCCTAAGGGCAACTTCTTCCCGGATAGAGCGCGTCAGAGCACGATGGTCTTGTGACTGTGGAGCAGGAAGCAGGAAGAGATTGCACAGAGGGAGACCAAAAGGCAGAGCCATGGTCCTAGAAGGCAATTGGAGTGGAGCTGGTCCAGCCAGGTGATTGGTTCCTGCCTACTCCCTCCTTTCCTTCCCCACTGTTTAACACTCCAGGCCAGACCAGGATGGAGAATACCCTTACTCCGGAAAATGACCGTCCTGATAGGACGCGAGGAATCGAGGAGAGATGAGTTGGGGAAGAGCCACTGTGATAGCTTGTAGTTGGTGGAGAGGGCAAGGAGGTGGTGGATACTGATCTGCTTATGGAATGGGTGGCTGAGATGAGACCATAAGAGTATGCAGGATACCCTTTCTCCGGAGAACGGGCAAGCAAGCCACTGTGATAGATTGTGGTTGATGCAGAGGGCAAGGAGGTTGAATGATACGGCCCCTAGCCCCTAAGAGAAGTATTGTGCCCTATAAAGGAATAGATGGCCAGGCAGCGTGCTCTCCCATGTTAACCCTATCTGGTGTCTTACAACTTTTGACTGAATCACTGTTTTCAAACCACATTCCTCCGTGTATCCACTGTTTCTGAAAGTATGTGAGGGGGAAAAAACATTGCAGAAAGATCCACTCCACCATATCAGAATACTCTCTCAGTATTATTACTGTACCTGTGTTGGTCCACAGAGTAGCATAAGGAAGGGGGAAGGGTCATCTTTCCTAAGAAGTATTCTTGTACAAATGCTGACTATTTTAGCAAAGGGAAGGAATGGTTTATACCATAACAGAACAGTATTACTGACTGTCTACCATCTATCTGTTCCTGTGAAGGATGATAGGAGCACTGCACTAGAGACATTTGAAACAATGCACATTAAACTCTGTCTTCTCTTGCTAACTGTTCATATCCAAACTGTCAGTGATCAAGGTGGTAGAAAGGTATTTCATATGCCCATGTCTTTTTGCTATCATTATTTGTTGGTAATTTAAGCAAAAAAAATTTGTTAAAAAAAATCTGTACAGTTTGTAGCTGTTTATTTATGAAGATGTAATGTTATGTATGAAGGCTGTGGTTATACAGTGTATTTATTCTATTGATCTATCTATGGAGAGTGAATGCATTAGAATGAGCTGGTACAGTTACAGTATGTCTTCCTTTCCCTGTGAAGCACTGATCCCAAATCTGGTTGTGCCGTCTTGCCGACTTCATTGGTGTCACTGGGACCGGGCTAGAAGCACCTTCTAGAACGGATATGTTCCCGTGGAGTTAACATGATGAGGTTATTATCCAGTCGTCTGTAGCTTGTGTTTAGCCGGGCCCTACATCTGTTTGTCCTCGACCATGGGGGTTGGCAAGACGGCACAAACAGATCTGGGATCAGGCTAGCTTGTTTAAGGGTGCACCAACATACTATTGAAATATCTTATTTGTATTTGACCTGGTCAATGCAACACACACAGTAGATAGAGTGTTGTCTAGGGAACTGAAGTGTGTGTACATTGTGTTTTTGAAGGACCATTGTATGGTATTTTCCCAGACACTATAGCTGTCTCTAACACAAGTGTTCATTTATATGAAATAAAATACTGTAATGTATGAAGTATGATATTGATTCACCCAGGCTCAGCCAGTGCTTGGAAACTAAGAGACTTAAACCCAGTACACTATAACAATGACACTGGCAAAAGTCAACTCTTATCACCACTAACTCAGACAATGTGTGGTATTGTAGTGTACACACATTACAATATGTAGACTACTACATATACTTTTCTAGAATGTGTGTCTGTGTTCCAAGTTCCAACCCTGGAAGTAAAGCACTGGCCTTCTGAACAATGCTGAACACCTCCAGAATGGGAAAGAACCGGTAGCCTGGGTGACGACGGTCTGTTCCTGCTCTTGTCAACTCCTAATTGTCATGATAGACAATGAGTGACAATAAGGTAGAAATCAGGCTAAAGAAGCAGCTGGTATAGGGGGAAGTAGTTCAGGAGGCTGGTTCAACTCATATTGTTCTTTAACCTGTGGCTACATTATAGAGGAAGAGCCTACATTAGTGTCAGACAACTGCTACCCTCCAGTCTGCAGTAGTAGTAGTAGTAGTAGTAGTAGTAGTAGTAGTAGTAGTAGTAGTAGTAACAGTAGTAGTAGTAGTAGTAGTAGTAACAGTAGTAGTAGTAGTAGTAGTAACAGTAGTAGTAGTAGTAGTAGTAGTAGTAGTAGTAGTAGTAATAGTAGTAGTAGTAGTAGTAGTAACAGTAGTAGTAGTAGTAGTAGTAGTAGTAGTAGTAGTAGTAGTAGTAGTAGTAGTACCACAAACCGCTCACCTCTCCTCTCCCGACTGCGTCCCTAAGGGTGCTAAATAGTCTTCCAGAGAAGAAGGGACATGGACTGGGTACGGGGGGACAGGGAAAGGTTTTAACCCAGAGACTGTATCAGGGCCAGACCTTGGGGAGGAAGTCTGGTGTGCGAGACTAGTGTTGTTCCCACAATACCGCTGTTATCTTCTGTAGCCACCGCCATCCCCCCTGCCCTGTCCTGCCCTGCCCTGCCCTGTCCTGCCCTGCTTGTGTATAGTGTCAACAACATTTAGATGTATAGTCAATTATTATGTAAATATGTTTTGGTCAACTGTCCAAGAATTGCATTAGTTGTCAATGTTATTGGTATTGTTGTACTCCAGTTATTCATATTATATGGTCACAAAGCCTAAACCTTTATCAGATATCCTTTAAATATGAACTATGTCAGAAGGCTAGGCAGAAGGTTGTTTTACTAGTGGTCATTGGATGTACAGTTCAGTGAAAAAGTGTTTTCCTTCCTAATCTTCTCTACTTTTGGTTATTTTCTATACTTAATATTATCAGATCTTCAACCAAAGCCTAATATTAGATAAAGGGAACCTGAGTGAACAAATAACACAACTATTACATACGTATTTAATTTATTTAATAAACAAAGTTATGCAACACCCAATGCCCCTGTGTGGAAAAAGTAATTGCCCCCTTACACTCAATAACTGGTTGTGCCACCTTTAGCTGCAATGACTACAACCAAATGCTTCCTGTAATTATTGATCAGTCTTACATGCAAAGCTGCTTTAATTCAGTGACATTTGTGGGTTTTCAAGCATGAAATGCTCGTTTCAAGTCCTGCCACAACATCTCAATTGGGATTAGGTCTGGACTTTGACTAGGCCATTCCAACCTTCAAATGTGTTGATCTTTAGCCATTTTCATGTAGACTAAGCTTCACAGACAGATGGCCTGACATTCTCCTTTTGAATTGTCTGATATAGAGCAGAATTCATGGTTCCTTCTATTAAGGCAAGTCGTCCAGGTCCTGAGGCAGCAAAGCATCCCCAAACCACCACACTACCACCACCAAGCACAATTGGCCCAGCGTCATCCGGGTTTGGCCGGTGTAGGCTGTCATTGTAAATAAGAATTTGTTCTTAACTGACTTGCCTAGTTAAATAAAGGTAAAAAAATAAAAAAAAAATGCTTGACCATTGGTATGAGGTTCTTACTGTGGAATGCAGTGTTTCATTTTCGCCAGGCATAATGGGACCCATGTCCAAAAAGTTAACTCAAGTTTGCCAAAAAGATTATCATCAAGACTCTTGGAAGAATGTTCTATGGACAGATGATTCAAAAGTATAACTTTTTGGATGACATGGGTCCCATTGTTAATTAAATAAATAAAATAAGTATATATATATACATATATATTATATATATATATATTTTTTTACTCAGGTTCCCTTTATCTAATATTAGGGTTTGGTTGAAGATCTGATAACATTCAGTATAAAAAATATGCAAAATCAGAAAGGGGGCAAACACTTTTTCACTGCCCTGTACGTCTAAGTATGAATTCCTTTGGGGTGCAAATGTTTGAAATCTGTAATATATTATGTGACCAGTGGACCCAAATTTACAAACATACCCCTCCGACTGTTCTTTCCTATTGTTGCAGCCAATACTTGTCTATCAGATGTGCTGAAAATGAATCTGTCTTTACTCTGATGGTTGATCAGAGTTTGTGTTAGAAAGATTTGTTGTTAATAAGGAAAACTATTAAAACTACTGATTTTGTAATTACTGGAAAATACTGATAGTTGCATTAACATATTTTGAATAAATTGTATATTTTGAGCATTTTGTTGTCTTCAATGTATATCTAAAATCATACCTGTTGCATTGTCAATCTATATAGTTATTCCCCCCCCCCCCCCCCCCCCCCCCGTTGTCCTCTCCTCTATGGCCTTGGTGTGTCTATGCAGAGAGAAAGACGGGCGATATGGCAACGGCCCTCTGCCCTCCGTTAAGCAGCTGTCAGGCTCTTGGTGTTGGAGGAGGCCCTCTGCTCCTCTCAGAAGAAATACTCATTCACTGGCTGTGCTGTGGGATTGCTAGGGTCCCACACTATAGAAATACTCATTCACTGGCTGTGCTGTGGGATTGCTAGGGTCCCACACTATAGGCTGCATGCACACTGCCAGTATCCGTCACAGCCATAACTCTCATCGCATGGAGAGAGAGACTACTTCACTTGCTTTGGCAATTTTAACTTATGTTTCCCATGTCAATAAAGCCCTTGAATAGAGAGAGAGAGAGCGATCCACATTTGGACTCTTCACAGCTTATACTTGCAGTCTCAAAGCAATTTGTGGCTATGAGACTTGAATACACTGTAGTACCGTAATACAGTGAAACAAATCCTAATAGAGCCGTGTAAACAGACGTTCAGCATGTTACCTTTCTCAGCCAAATATTTGTCTTATGAATGTAGGGCACCATGCAGACACACAGATGGAAATATAGAGACACTCAAAGCCATATAGACAGAGCAGAGGGACAATGGACCTAAATCACATGATCCAGGTT